ACAACAGAATGGGAAAAGATATTCACTAACCCCACATCTGACAGAGGGTTGATCTCCAAAATTTACAAAGAACTCAAGAAGCAAGTCTCCAAAACACCAAAGGATCCAATGAAAAATTGGGCTAGAGAACTAAATAGAGAATTCTCAATAGAGGAGTCTAAAATGGATGAGAGGTTCTTAAGAAAGTGCTCAACATCCCTAGCCATCAGGGAATGGCAAATTAAAACAACTCTGAGATACCATCATACTCCTGTCAGAATGGCTAAAATCAAAAACACCAATGACAATTTGTGCTGGAGAGGATGTGGATAGAAAAGAACACTCCTCCACTGCTGGTGGAAGTGTCATCTCCTACACCCACTTTGGAAATCAGTATGGAGATTCCTCAGCAAAATGGAAATCAGCCTACAATCCCACTGCCAGAGAGTCTGGGAAACAGGAAGGACCCTAAGAGACATATGCGTGGTACCCCAGAGAAGGGGAATGAAGCAAGATCTACTGAGCAGATTGGGAGCATGGGGGGAGAGGGAGCCAGGAAAAGAGAAGGGGAGAAGAGGAGGGGAGAGAAGGACACGAGGGAACAGTAAGGTTGAGTCAGGGGAAGAATAGAGGAGAGCAGAATGAGAGATACCATAATAGAGGGAGTCATTTTAGGTTTGAGGATAGATCTGACACTACTCAGATTTCCAGAAATCTACAAGGATGACAACACTGGCAAACTAAGCAATAGTGAACTAACTACCTTAAATGCCCTTCCCTGATAATGAGTTTGATGACTACCTTATATGCCATCCTAGAACCTCCATCCAGTGACAAATGGAAGCAGAGGCAGACACCCACAGCTAAACACTGAACGGATCTCCTGGAACCCACTGACAGAGAGGGAGGATTGATGAGCAAATGGGTCAAGACTGGGCTGGTGAAATCCAGAGAAATAGGTGACCTGAACAAGGGGGATATCTTGGACCCCAGCCTGATGGCTGAGAGGCCAACATGGGACTGATCCAGACCCCCTGAATGTTGGAGTCAGTGAGGAGGCCTAGACAACCTATGGGGCTTTGGGTAGTAGTATGTCAGTATTTATCCCTGCACACAAATGGACTTTGAGGGCTCAAGCCACAATGAGGGATGCTCTCTCAGTCTGGACACTTGGGGGAGGGCCTAGGCCCTACCCTGAAGGAAATGACAAACTCTGGAGATCCCCCATGGAGGGCGTCATCCTCCCTGGGGAACAGAGTGGGGATTGGATGGGGGCTGGGGAGGGTAGAGAAGGAGAGGAGGGAGAGGGAGCTGGGATGGACAAGTAAAGCACGCTAGTTTCTAATTTAAATTTAAAAATTAATCTGTTTCTATTAATCTACATTTTGCCACATGGCTCTTTACCTCTCCTTAGTACTGTGTATCTGACTTGCTCTAATCTCACAGGTCCACCTATATTCATCCCTTGAGTTCTTCTCTCTGCCTAGAAGGCCCCCTTCATCTCTCCTGCTTAGCCATTGGCTGTTCAGCTTTTTACTAAACCAATCACAATGACTTATCTTCACATGTCTTGCAACAGGGATTGCAATATTATTGTGTAATTTCTTCCTTACATTTACTCTCTCCAAAACCTCCCATATAATCTTCCTGGACTTTTCAAATTTCTAGGCACCCTTTTCCTTAATTGTTACTATCTATATATCTATCAGTATATATTATATATGTAGTATATATAGTATATATGTATATGCATATATATGTGCATGTATACACACACACATTACCAAATACATAAATATAAATTGTTCAGTCTGTATAATGTTACTTGCATGCATGTTTCCATGGGTGACCATCTGGTATTAGATGACCAGTTGGTGTGATCTTCCTTGGGGAAGATGTTTTTCTCTAAATCTCAACAATCCTTAGTTTCTCATACTTCTTTATATACGGCTAAGGCCTTCTGAACTTTCCTTAGCCCACACTAGAATGTCTGCTGTTATTTTCCTCCTTCAGCTCATCTTTAGGCAGCCGTGTGGTGAAACTATATAGCTTTTGACATTTGTAGGAGACAAAGACCTCACAATAAATTCTCTGATCCTTTGGCTCTTAAATTTTCCCACCTCCTTTCCCACAATGATTCCTGGGCTTTAGGTTCAGAACTTGTAGTTATATTCATGACAACTGGATTCCATAGCTCTGCACTTTAATAGGTTGTGTTTTTTCTGTAATGGACTCTATCTGTTGCAAAGAGAAAGTTCCTTGATGAGGGGTGAAGACTACATTTATTTCTGAGGGTATAAAGACAAATACTAGAAAGTACTTAGAGATCATGCTGGTTGAGTAAATTAGTAGTTATAGATCCTCCTCCAAAATGCATGACTTCACTAGCCATGGGGCATTGCCTAAGTTTTCTGCATCAAGCATAGTTTTTCTCTTGAGTGGATCTTTTGTTTTGTTTTTGTTTGGTTGGTTTGTTTTTGTTTTTGTTTTTGTTTTCTGGACAGGGTTTCTATGTATTGTTTTGGAGGCTGTCCTGGAACTCGCTCTGTAGACCAGGCTGGCCTTGAACTCAGAGATCTGTCTGCCTCTGCCTCTCGAGTGCTGGGATTATATTAAGTGGATCTTAAATCCAATTAGAAAGATGTTGGTTGCCCCCCAAGGTGTGGGTGCACTATTGAACTTTTAGGGTTTTAGTACCCTGTTGGTCTTTATTGTGGTTCACAGGCATTATGATTGGATAGACAAAGTAAATTGCCTCATATCAGGTATTTACAATATTGTTCATAACAGTAGCAAAATTATAGCTATGAAATAGCAACAAAATTATTTAATGGTTGGGTTTAATATGGTAAATAAAAGACTTAGAGACAGATATTAGGGTTCAAACTGTAAGGTTAAGATCAGGACAAAAACATATCTGTCAGGCTGAAAGGGCTGATCCTGCTGCCTCTCCTCAGCATGACTGGAGAATCCTGAGACTGAATGCTTCCTATACTCAGTGCAGATGGAGAATGAACGCCTGATACCAAGATATTGGTTCTGTCTTATATACCTCCCTAATGCTGGGATTAAAGACGTGTGATCCCAGGGGCTGAGATCATGATTGTGTGAGCTATTTCTCTTTAGGACTGGATAAAACTTGTGTATATGTGGGGGGCCTTGGCCTCAAAGAGATCTGTCAACCTCTTTTTTTTAAATAATTTATTTATTCTTTTAAATTTTGGTTTACATTCTTTTTATTTTATTTTGTTTTTAAATTTAAATTAGAAACAAGGATGCTTCACATGTCAATCCCAGTTCCCTCTACCTCTCCTCCTCCCATGCCCTTCCATCAAGCCCTCATCCCCCCTGCCCAATCCCCACTTCTTTCCGCAGGAAGGGGGGTACTTCATGAGGGGTATCCATAGTCTGTCATTTCATTCAGGGTATGTACTAGGCCCTTCCCCAAGAGTCCAGGCTGAGAGAGCATCTCTCATTGTGGGATGGGCACCCAAAGTCCATTTATATACCAGAGATAAATACTGATCTACTACCCAAGACCCCATAGATTATCTATGCCTCCTCACTGACACACACATTCAGGGGGTCTTGATCAGTTCCATGCTGAATTCCCAGACATCAGTCTGGGATTCAAGAGCCCTCTTGTTCAGGTCAGCTATTTCTGTGGGTTCAACAAGCCCAGTCTTGACCCCTATGCTCATCAGTCCTCCCTCTCTGTCACTGGGTTCCTTGAGTTCAGTTCAGTGTTTAGCTGTGGGTGTCTGCCTCTGCTTCTATCAGTCATTAGTTAAAGGTTCTGTTTCCCAGACACTCTGGCAGTGGGATTGTATACTGGCACTCCATGATCTATGTTTAAAATCCATATATGAGTGAGTATATACCATGAGTGACTGGGTTATCTCACTCAGGATGGCTTCTTCTAGTGACATCCATTTGCCTGCAAATCTCAAGATTCCATTGTTTTTTTCCACTGAATAGTACTCCATTGTATCAATGCACCACGTTTTCTTTATCCAATCTTCAGGTGAGAAGCATCTAGGTTGCTTCCAGGTTCTGACTATTACAAATAGTGCTGCTATAAAAATAGTGGAACAGACATCCTTGTTGTATGAATGTGCATCTTTTGGGTATATGCCTAAAAGTGGAATTGCTATGTCATGTGGTAGACTGATTCTGATTTTCCTGAGGAATCTCCATACTGATTTCCAAAGTGGCTGTATTAAGTGTTAGTTAGGACCAACTCTAAGCTAATGCCAAGCTTTCATAATTAATAATAATTCTCCATGTCATTATTTGGGGGCTGGTGGTCCAAAGAAAGTCTGACAAGAAAGACCTGATACAAATATCAAAAAAAAAAAAAGGATTTTAAGAAAAGAAAATGAAAGAATGAAATTTCTTGGAAAGAATGATGAATAAGAAAACTGTCAGCAATCTAACCAATAGTGGAGAGGCTACCTTAAATGCCCTTCCCTGATAATGTGACTGATTACAACCTTGTATGCCATCCTAGAGCCTCCATCCAGTGGCTGGTAGAAGCAGAGGCAGACACTCACAGCTATACACTGATCTGAATCCCTGGAATCCAGTTTCAGAGAGGGAGGAGTGATGAAAAAAGGCGTCAATACTGGGCTGGTGAAACCCACATAAACATCTGACCTGAACAAGGGGGAACTCATGGACCCCAGACTGATGGATAAGAGGCCAGCATGGGACTTATCCAGATCCCAGAAACATGGGTGTCAGTGAGAAGGTGTGGGCATTCTTTGCGGCCTCAGGCAATCGATCAATATTTATCCCTGGCATCCAAATGAACTTTGGGAGCCCATATGGCATGTAGGGATGTTCTCTCAGTCTAGACACATGGGGGAGGGCCTAGTCCCTACCCTGGGACGATATGACAGACTTTGGACATCCCCCATGAAGGGCCTTACCCTTCCTGGAGAGTGGAGTTGTGATTGGATGGATGGGGAGGGGGTTGGGAGGGGAGGGAAGTGAGAGGGAGCAGGGATTGACATGTGAAGCAAGCTTGTTTCTAATTTAAATTTAAAAACACGTTAAAAAAAGAAAACTGTCTAAACTCATGAAATCATATTATTCCCACATGAAAGCTCTGTTATCAAATCTACTATTCAAGGAAGAGGCTCCTGATCTGTGTGTGTGTTCATAGATCCCAGGTAATAGTCACATGCACAAGCGCAATACCACCTCCACAATTGATTGGAGACAGAACTGGCAGCTGGAAGTCTTCCATCATACTCATATCTGCTATAGAGAACAACTCATCCAACGGGACTGAGAGGTCCTTAGCTTTGATGCAGAGGCATGCAACTTAATCAGGTGTTGCCATCATGTCTGGAAATGTGACCTGTAAAATACAGAGGTCATTAGAAGCCTGTTCAAAACTGAAGACTGAGGTAAAAGAGAAATCAGCCTATGTTTAGGGGTGAGGACCATGGGATGGACTTCCATAAACTGTTTACAACTACAAGGAATAGGTAAATATCCTGCCAGATACAAAAATGAATTTTCTCTATAATCAGGGGGACTTCTCAGTATCATGGTTTAAAAAAATATGGGACATAAAATAACCAGTCAACTTAGAAAAATCTATTCAAATTCAAACTACTACTACCTTTGTCAGAAGTTCTAACCAAGACTGCATTTGGGGTGGGTCAGTTTACTAAATAACTATGGGATTTTAACAGCTCATCCAGCAATGGCATACCTTATGTTAAGACTGAGAACAGCTACAGCACAAACCTAGATCTCAGAGTCTGAAGACTCAGGTGCTGCCAAAGAAATGGTCTCTTCACACAGCAGCAAGCCTCTCACCTCTCAGTCATCCTGACTTGTCTGGCTCGGGGCTTAGAAATAGGATTTATTTTTAGTTCTAAATTATTCTTTAAGGATATCTATATTAAATTATAAAGTTTTTCTCCAGATGTGATATTTCAGGAAGGAAATTGATTTTTAATTGACTATTTTGTGCTGTGGTTATGTTATCATCAAAGGAGCAAGAAAAATAACCCTATTCTAAATTCATATTCTCTCTCTATCTATCTATCTCTGTGTGTATGTCTGTCTGTCTCTCTCTGTGTGTCTCTCTCTCTCTCTCTCTCTCACACAGACACACTATAGTAATCAGTGCACTATAGATATACATATAGAGTGCCCAGTGATAAGCCCAGCACACATATGGGAAATAAGTCTTGAATATGACTCCCAGTTGTCCCCACCACCCAGAATCCACACCCCACATCTTTAAAGAAACAAAACAAATTTCAGTATTTATTTGGAGGTATTTTCTTTTTCTTCTAGATAATTTCATCTAGAATGAAAGGACAATATAAGGATAATAAAAGGGACTGTCATATTCTGTGCAGCATATTGGGAAATGATGTCATAACAGCAACCTAGTAAGTAAGCCTGGAAGTAATCCTGAGCCCAGCCATTTCTTCTGATGACCAGAGCTCCAGATGCATCATGTCCACAAACTTTTTTTCTAATTCTTCCCTTATATATTACATCCCTACCACAGTTTCCCCTCCAGCCTCCTCTCCATTCCCTTGCCCCCACCTGCCATCTCTCCCAGATCCACTCCTCCTCCATTTGCCTTCAGAAAGGGGCAGGCCTCCCAGAGATACCAACTAAACACATCATAACAAGTTACAAAACACTATATTAAGATTGGATGATTCAATCCAATACAGGAAAAGGGTCCCAAAAGCAAGCAAAAGAGTCAGAGACACCCTCATTCCCACTGTTAGGAATCCCACAAGAAACACCAAAGCTACACAACCATAACATATATGCAGAGGACCTAAGTGCATACAGGTTCCCTGATGGTCATATCAGTCTCTGTGAGCACCTACAAGTCCTAATTGGTTGATTCAGTGGACTTTGTGCCCTCTGGCTCCTACAATTCTTTTTATTCTTTCTTCCCTAATCCTTCCTAATGTTTGGTTGTGGGTTTCTGCACGTGCACCCATCAGTTGTTGAATGAAGCCTCTCTGACAACAACTGGGCTAGGCTCCAATTCATGAGTATAGCAGAATATCATTATGAATCATTTAATTGATTTTTTGCAACCCTCTTTGGTTCTGTCCTGGCTGTTGAGGCATTGTCAAGATTGGGTACTCTCTTGCAGTATGGGCCTCAAGTTGGACCAGTCATTGGTTGGCCACTCCAAACAAGTTCTGTGCCACCGTTACCACAGCACATTTGGCTGACAGGACTAACTGTAGGTTGAAGGTTTTGTGGCTGGATTCGTGTCCTAGTCCCTCCACTGCCCTTGTCTAGGTATATAACCGGCTAGTTCAGACTCTGTCTTGTTCCTGATTTTAACATAATTGCTTTAAGTTTCTCTACATTTAATTTGATGTGGATTATAGGCTTGCTGTAGATTACCTTTATTATGTTTGTGTATGTCCCTTGTATCCTGACTTTTCCAAGACTTTTATCATGAGGGGGTGTTAGATTTTGTCAAAGGCTTTTTCATAATCCAGAACCTTCTTCCACACCCCAAACTCAGAAAATATTTATGACTTCAGACACTGCAGTGCTTGGGGTTTCGTTTGCAGCGTAGATTACTTAAGAGTACATTATTATAAATATTCATCAGTAAAGTAGTCAAACAGACATGGTTGTCATCCTGTAATTCCAAGTCTCAGGAAGCTAAGGCAAGAAGAATACCCCCAGTTTGAGGCCAACTTGAAGTAGATTTTAAGTCCAGAGTGAGGAATGGAAAATACCATACTCTGTCTCAAAAACTAAATAAAAAAATAACTGTAGGATAATAATTTTAATGAATTGCAGTTATAAGAATTATAATTTAAATGTTAATGCTTGAAAGCAGACCATTAGGACTAATAGTCTAAGCCGGGTGGTGGTGGCACATGCCTTTAATCCCAGCACTCGGGAGGCAGAGACAGGCAGATCTCTGTGAGTTTGAGGCTAGGCTGGACTGACAGCCTCCAAAACAATACAGAGAAACCCTGTCTCGTAAAACCAAAATAAATAAATAAAAAGACTAATAGTCTAATTGATATTGACACTGTTTCAGTAGGGCAGGCAACTTACTATGTAGTATTATATCTGTTTTACTTCTTAACTTTTTCATTTTTAATATTTAGGAACTCTCTTACTCTGTAAAAGAGTTTATCTTTTAAAATATAGTATCTTAAATATTTGTTCTCCATCATAATTTCTGTTCTAATAAAAACTGTATTTGTCTTAGTTACTTTTCTATTATTCTGAAGAGACACTATAACCAAGACACTTACAGAAGAAAGCATTTAAGGGGGGCTTGCTTACCGTTTCAGAGAGTGAGTCCATGGTGATCATTGCAGCAGGCAGGCAGGCATGGCTCTGAGGAAATAGCTGAGGGCTTGCATTTGATCTACAAGTACAAACACAGAAAGAGCTCACTGAGAATGGTGTGGGCTTTTCAACCCTCAAAGCCCACCTCCAAAGATATATGTCCTCCAACAAGGCCATAAGTCTTAATCTTTCCCAAAAAGTTCTACCAATTGAGGACCATATATTCAAATATATAAACCCATTATAACCATTCCTGTTTAAACCACCACAATAATTTAAGTTAAAATGTAAGTATATTGTAATTGTAAGTTTTTCTAAATAATCTGGTGTATTATATATAAGCTAAAGACAAAATTTAGGAAAAAATCTCATTACCAACTTATCCCAAGTTCAAAACAAAACAAAGCATGTCTTCAGATTTCGCCAACTATTTTCTTAGAAAATTATAATAAAAATTCAAATAACTTTATTTCTTCCCAAAGCAACATGCATGCTATTCATCATATATGTGTGTGTGTGTGTGTGTTCCTTATTTTAAAAGAAAGCAAAACAGCCCAAAAACCTTCATATTAAGAAGATATACGATCTTTCAAGTAAGCTAGATACATGTGCTTGAAAGCAATTATTCATTACACTGATGCTATGAAATGCAATTTTCAGACTGTGATAGACATCCAACTTAAAACCATTTTCTGTTATGTGCATACTTGCCAGCACTCTTTTTGTTTTAGCTTTAATAATAAAAATTACAGAGAGAAAAGACAGAAAGCAAGCAAAGATTAATAGGATCCAACTTCAGTGCTTTGATACTTTCTCAGTTTCTAAAATAAATCAACACATAGGTCAAGAAAGCCACCGTCTCATCTTGGAAGCATCAACCATAGAGAATAATGGGATTTATGCATATGAAAGTAGGAGACTGCAAATGCCAGCAGCTAGCACACTGTCAATGAAGAAGAACAAACAGCAGCACCCAACCCACCATGAAGTATAGATTAAATGGAAGATCACAGCTGCTTTAAAGGCTTGCCTAAAAGTCTAATAATTTAACTTTAGCAAAATGCAATCTGATTTTTTCACTAGACTTAATAAATTCCCCCAAAGCCATTACTTTAACAATATGCAAGTATAGCATTCACTTACCAGCAATGACAAATGTGTTTATTTATAGCCTATTTTTTTTCTCAAGAAAAATCCATCCATTATGGCACCACTAAGCATGTGCAGTTAAAATTAGAGACAGCCTTATGTTTACCCAAAAGCTAAGAATTAAAGTGAGGACTAGATTAGATGCAAGATTCATACTGATGTCAGATCAATTTAATCATAATGTATCATTTAATATGTCAAAAACATCCATAACTCCTTAGTGGTTATGAGGTGGGGATTCAAGTTAATAAAACATAGTCCCAAAATAGTTTAAATACTACAGGGGAAAAGTCAGCTTCTCATTTGATGCTTTAGATGAAACTTTATGAACAATAAAATTTATAGGAGTGTTAATTAATTCATAAACGTGAACACCATCTTCATCATCAGACATGAGGAATAATGGGCAAAGCCCCATTTGCCTGTATGACTCACTTCCAAATTTTCATCATCTTATATTTTACATACTTTATCTAGACAACCCTTCTTTTCTTCCCATAGTACAACTTCTCAACCTTTCTAGCTCTGTAGCTTTGTAAGATGCTAAGAAGCATACCATATGATTTAATTCATTCACGTAAACATATAGATTATCCTTATCTCACCCAAAGACTGCTCATGGAAGAATCACTTCAGAAAAAAATGCACTACAAATGAACTTCCTGTGTCCACCCAAAACCATAAGGTCACACAGTCTTCATTTAATATAGAGAAAAAATCAGCCTCCAGACAGTTCTCTTAAGTATGGGTCAAAATATTAGGTTAAACTTTTCTAAACCAATTGATTAAAATAGTCCTTAAAGACATGAAGGTAAGGCATGCACACCCTCCTATGCTTCACTGAAAGCCATGTTTTCTGGTCAGTTTTTGTCAACTTGACAGAAACTAGACTTCCTTGGGAAGAGGGGACATCAATTGAAAATTGGCCTCCACCAGACTGGCCTGTGGTCATATCTGTGAGACATTTCCTTCATTAATAATTGATACTGAAGAGCCCACGAAGCACTATTTCCGGTTGTATAAGAAAACAAACTAAGCAAATCTTGGAGAGCAAGGCAATAGGCAGCATTACTCTATGACTTATGCTTCATTGTTCTGCCTCCTCCTAGCTCCTCCTCTTCCTCCTCCTCCTCCTCCTCCTTCTTCAAGGCAGGGTTTTTATGTTTAACAACTGTAGCTATCCTGGAACATGCTTAGTAAATCAGATTAGCCTTGAATTCATAGAGACTCTCCTGCCTCTGCCTCACAAGTGCTGAAATTACATGCACGCACCACCACTTATTAGACATGACTCTACTTCTATTTGAGTTCCTGCCCTGAATACCCTGAGAAACATACTGTGATCCAAATGTGTAAGCCAAATAATCCGTTCTTCCCCATGTTGCTTTTTTAAAAATCACATCAATAGTGATACAAAGAAAAAGTCATAGTATTTATCACAGCAATAGAAAGCACACTAGGAAAGCATTCCTGAATTCTCTTTCAACAGTTTGAAATGATTTTTCATGTGATAAGTTCAGCCACGAACCTATACAACAAAGCAAGCAAATCATCAACTCTAAGAAATCTTGTGTTTTCAGCAAGTTTACATATTTATGTTAGGGCACACTGGCTGGATGAAGGTTCACATCTTGTAATGGAATCCTTCAGTGATATCATTTTTATTCATATAACAGCTTTGAAAAAATATTTAATTTTTACAAATGAAACTGAAGTTCTTAAAGTAACCTGTTTAAGTAGTGTAATTAGTAGGGGACAAAACAGACATTCATAAGCCACCACTTATTTCAAAGACTAAGCACTCTCTTCCCTCTAGTGTACTTTTTCGTCTTACCAATTAAAATTGAGTCAAATGGCTTTTAAATAACCAATTTAAATAAATCACCATAAGCACATAATTATATACTCTTGGGTACAGTGGTGTTTCACAAGACTCCTTTATGCACTAGAAACTGTCTTCTGCATTGTAGTGTGACAAACTAGTCTCATCTCCAGACTCAAAACATACTATCAATCATCCTTCCTCCTAACAAAATACGTTATAGTGTAAGCGACAAATTTTGATGTAGTGTAGAAAATTTTAAGCTACATGCTTATAATTTCATGGAAAGATGAAAAACTGTCCATTTATTCCTTTTTAAATCCCATTGTTATACTTTTTTAAAACACAGATTATGTGGTACATTTACACAATGGAGTATGCCTGAGCAGAAAAATACAATGGATTCTTGAAGTGGATGGAACTGAAGAAACCATGTTGAGTGAGGTAACCCAGTCACAAAAAAGACAAAAATGGTATGTACTCATTCATATATGGATTTTAGTCATAGAGAAAAAGAGTACCAGCCTACAATCCACACCGCCAGAGAAGCTAGGAAACAAGAGAACCCTAAGAGATACATACATGGTACCCCACATAAGGAGAAAGGGACAAGATCTCCTGAGCTAATTGGGAGCATGCAGGGAGGGGAGAGGGAGTTAGAAAAAATAGAAGGGGAGAAGAGGAGGCAAGAGGAGGACATAAGAGAGCAGGAAGATCACATCAAGGGAAGAATAAAAGAGAGCAAGAAAAGACAAACCACAATAGAGGTAGTCATTATAGTTTTAAAGAGAAATCTGGCACTAGAGAAATCTCCAGAGATCTACAAGGTTCACCCTAACTAACAATCTAAGCAATAGTTGAGAGGCTACCTTAAATGCTCTTCTCCGATAATGAGACTGACGACTACCTTATATGCAAGCCTAGAGCCTGAAACCAGTAGCTGATGGAAGCAGAAGCAGACACACACAGTTAAACACTGAGCTGAACTCTGGAATCCAGTTGCATAGTGGGAGGAGTGATGAGCAAAGGGGTTGAGATCAGGCTGAAGAAACACACAGAAACAGCTGACTTGAAATCATGGACCCCAGACTGATAGCTGGGAAACCAGTATAGGACTGTTCCAGACCTCCTTAACGTGGATGTCAGTTTGGAGGTCTGGTTAATCTATGGGGTCTCTAGAAGTGGATCCGTATTAATCCCTAGTATACGAATGGACTTTGGGAGCCCACTCCACATAGAGGGATACTTTCTCAGCCTCGATACACAGGGGAGGGTCTAGGCCCCGCTCCAAAGTATATGACAGACTTTGAAGATCCCCCATGGAAGGCCTCACCCTCCCTGGGGAGCAGAAAGAGAATGGGAGACAAGGTCGGTGGGGGACAGGGGAGGGAGAGGTAACTGGGATTGACATGTAAAAGAAGCTTGTTTCTAATTTAAATAAAAGAAAGGGGAAAAAACACAGGTTACCTTACTGTTATTTCAGTGTCCAATGTAAATTAGTACTATCCTAGCCTACTTGCTTCATCTGCTTCTTTTTTATCTATTTTCTATAAAGCATTGATATTTCCATTAATAGCGTCAGGGAAAATCATGAAATATAATCAAGTATTTTATGGCACTGTTAAAAAGCCCTAAATTTATAAAATTACACAGTCAAGCTGGAAAGATAAATGACAAGACAGAAGTTGTAAAGTACCATTGAGAAAGAGAAATTTATTTTAATTTTCAGAACAAAAGGAATTTAATAATAAGAACTCTATTGAGGAAGATAAATGTATCATATAAAAGAACAGAAAAATATTCTTGAAACACTGAAAGATTTAAAAAATAAAAATAGTGTTTCTATCAACTACTATGATAAAATAAAATCCATACTGCTGAGAAGAAAGAAATCACTTAACAGCTGTTTGTAAGCATTTTGCCAGTCAAGTCTGTCTGTAGGATATCAAAGTTGAAGATCTGAACCCTGGTGTGGTGATATACTCTTATAGTCCCAGTTCTATGGAGTTGTAAATCAGGAATTGTGTGATTTGAGCCCTGCCTAGGTTATATAGTGAGATCCTATCTCAAAAAAGACAAGATCCTGAGATCTCAACCAGGGATACGCA